GAGGACGGACTGGGCGCTTCTGCGATAAGCGACTTGCTAGACAATGACCCAGAAATCGTAGAAACTGCATTCAGGCGTCATATGGTTGCAGAGGTCTACAGAGACCTAGACAAACCAGAGTGTTTGGAGCGTCTCGACTCTCGAGCGCCTCAAACGGCCGATTTTGTTCAACAACTCCGCAAACAAGTGCAAAAAGACAATGCGCCGCAGCTGCAAGCGCTAAGAGACTTAATCGACAAAAAATACAAACATACGCCAGGACATTTGCCTAAAAAACCCTCTCTACTTTCTAAAGTCCTTACACAAACAACGCATCCGCTCCTCCAAGCAGCAAAGCCAGGCCCCTGGGAAGCTCCAATCCCTATAACGCCAATTCTAAACACGTGGATGCCTTAATAACAAAACATAGCGTTTCGAGTGTAGTGTATGCTGATATAATTGTGTGCACATCTACGTACTTATATGTATCTAGGTTCGGGTGTATCGGCGGTTATACCTCTACGCATGATGCACATATGAGCTGATGTGGATGGGGAATAATATTCATGTGCGCATATTCATATTCACTTGTATGGGCGCACGTATCCACGCCGAACTGTCTGTGTGTATACTTGTTTATGTTCACGCTGCAGTTTACTTGCGTGTTCATTGCTGGATTATCCTGAGTTCTCTACTNTTCAGGAAGGAAGTCGTGAACGACGGTGCCAACCTGAAGATACAGCTGAGAACTTACAGCGATAATCCCGACAAGATATCGGTCCGACTTGAAGGCGTTGTTGCAGCTCCACTTCTCTGCATCCTCTCTGTTTTGAACGAGGTGGATCACTTCAGCAACTGGGTGCCGTATTTCACCAAACCGTTCAAGTACGGTCTACCTTCAGGGTCAGATGGTTTAGGGTTAGCTGTTTGCGATGCACAATGCAAAATGTCTGGCTTGCTGGCACTGGGTCTAAACTTGGTCTCTGTTGGCTCTCACTGATACGCAAACGCTTCGTATTAAGTGTTTAGGGGTTTAGAGTCTACCACCCATCCACACATATTTAATCCTTCTTGGCTGATTCACCCCGGTAGAGGCTAAACCCTAAATTCTAAACCTTAAACCCTCCCCGGATGCTGAGGCGTCTCAGACTCGGCCTGCGTAAAGTGGAGAACGAACGTCTTGGGCGCGTGGATCAAATGGTGCAGTTCCACATCGACTTTCCCTGGCCGTTTGCGAGCAGGTGACAGTTCTCTGCAGACTGTGATTAAGGAATTGCTTCATATTTTCAACTATATCTGCATGCATGTGCTCGCTGCTTTATCCTCATTCAGTATTCCACCCCTCGAGTTGCACTGTGTGGATGAAGTTTAGTTGGGCTTGCCGTTGCAGCGCCACTGTCACCTGCCGTGAACGGTTGGGGCATCGGGTGTTGCAGGGACGCGTGTTTCGAGGTGTTTGCTGTGGACGACTTCGAACGGAATTCGCAAATTGTCGTTAAAATGATTACTCTGGACAACTCCTGCAAGACGCCGAGGCAAACAATGGTGAGCCTTGGGGTGTGTCTATGCCCGNGATTACTCTGGACAACTCCTGCAAGACGCCGAGGCAAACAATGGTGAGCCTTGGGGTGTGTCTATGCCCGCTTCTGATTAAATTAAGTAAGTCTGCTGCCCTTTCTTCTTTCCTACATCTTCTTTGACCATGTATGGAATGTCGGTCGCTGCGCATCGCTTGACGTATACACACGCTCGTAAGCTGTGTCTCAACGTCACTGACATACAAGGTCGGGGCTTCGTACGAAGGGAGACGTAACTGTATAGACCTATATACTGCTTAACTGGGTAAACCTGTACACGAATTGTTTCGGGTCTTAGCAGTTGTAAGCGTGTATGAATAAGGGGCGGCCTCGCCTAACGCGATGCTCTTTCGTTCTCGATCCTTGCCCATGGCTCGCTGGCTGCTAGTCGTAGGCGTTTTTGCATTAAATTCGCGTGGTCTTGAGGCTGCCCGTGAGTGGGGCATTTCGACTGGAGTTCAACTTCATCCGCATTGTGCTTTGCTAGAACTGAAGCCACACAGGCCGGCATTCATCTAGATAAGTTGGCTGTGCATCCGCTCTCCAGCATCTGCACTGCAAGGTTTGCTCCTGAACGCTTTTGTTTACCTGAGTGTTCAGACGATCCCCGATCCAGCCCGGCGTGTGGAGAGGATTCTTGTGGATGGTTCCTTAGTGATAAAGCCTCTCGGCCCCGACTCGTCTCTGTTGTCTCTCCTTTGGCACGAGAACTGCGGGATGCGCATCCCAGTCTTCATGCTTGACTTTGCGACGAAGTAAGCCAGCCACGCATATGGACCATCACCACTTCTTGCTTGAGCAGCGCAATGGCCTGCCAGGCTCGCAACTAGGGAAAGTGGGCAGCTAAGGGTGATGGTGTCAGGTTGAAAGTCTTGGCCTCGACACAAGGCGCCCTTTGGTGGGAGATGTTAGTGTGTGATCATGCATTCGTTGGCTTTTGCAGTTTTTCGATTTCTCTCTTGAGATCCATCTGTGTAGCCACGTGTACCCTCCCCATTCTGATCCTTCTAGTTTACACTTTTAGATTAGCCTATTGCGGGTTTGCTTTTCATGGGTTTTGCTCGCTGGGGTGTATGCATTGGGCTCTTTTCTGGGCGTAGGCTATTTGCACGGTCGGCCTTTGAAGCGTTCAGGACAACCTGCATTTCAGCAAGGGACGGGGAGCTGAAGCGGAGGCGATCTTTAAATGAAAACCTCTACAGCTTCATTGCAGACCGCCTGGTACAAGTCGGCCTCATGCCTACCTCGCCGCCGCGCTCTGTCGTAAGCTGCAGTTCAACGGTTTCCAGTTGCATCTATGGGGAGGTGTTTGCATAGCACTACATGTCGGCATTTCTTTAACTGAGTCAGTGCTGCAGTCTGATGAAGAAGCCTTGGCTTTCATTTCGCCCCAAGCGTATATTTGACACGTTTGTTTTTACGCTTTATTGTTTTCGGATGATCGGGCGCGCGATGCTGGCACTTTGAAATCTTTGGGTGCACACTTAAAGACGAAGAGGTGGGTGTGGGTGGATTCAGGGAGATGAAGAGGAGGGACGCGAAGACCTTTCCAAGTTGTAGTAAGCAAGGGAGTAAACGCGGACAATGCAAAAGAACATGCGTCGACGGCAACGCGTTTTAGCCACAGTGTCTTTGCACATCTGCAAACGCTTTAGATAGACTGCACCTGCAACATTACAGCAGCTGCAGCCAGCAGCAGCCGCAGGACCTGCAATAGAGAAGTAGAACCACGCTGCAAGCTGTAGCAGCACTAGCAGCAGCCTAGAGGTGGCTACACCACCTGTAGGCCATTGTTGCTGCTTTAGCAGCAACAATGGCAACCAAGAAACACCCGCTAGACCTGCAGGTATACGATATGACCCGGTGAGGCTTAGAGGTAAATGCTTTTTTTTTTAGTTTAGGGTTTAGGGTTTAGGGTTTAGGGTTTGAAGGGTTCGAAGCCCAGAGAATGCAACGTGTCAGTTTGTGGGGATATACTTTATGCAGCTGTGGGCTTTAACAGGTACATTGCTGCAGGCCAGCAAGCGATATGTTTATACACAAAGCAGAAAAAAAACAGAAAAATATATAATCCTTTCAGGTGTATTCGTGAACAAAGCCTCCGACTCGCCGCAGGCAACTGGCTCACGACGCGGATAGCCCGACCGCGCAACGGTCCAGATGACTCGTTTCATAAAGCAAGGAAAGGTTGATAAGTCGTGGTGTGAAACCTAGGGTTTAGGGTTTAGTCGTGAGGGTTTGGGGTTTAGGGTTTAGTCACCAGTGTTTGGGACATAACAGGGGCTTCTCTAACGAGAAACTGCAGCATTAGCCAAGGACCTTCGCGGGTTGCAACAGAATATAACTGCTGAAGAAACTAATTTGCTATAAGTGTTTATTTCTCCCCGGCTTCCTGGGTG